TTTTTTTTTTTTTTTGACAGGCAGAGTTAGACAGTGAGAGAGATAGAGACAGAGAGAAAGGTCTTCCTTCCGTTGGTTCATCCCCCAGTGGCCGCTGCAGCCTGGTCTCACATGCAGGTACAGGGCCCAAGGACCTGGGCCATCCTCCACTGCCTTCCTGGCCCACAGCAGAGAAGGACTGGAAGGGTGGCAACCAGGACAGAATCCGGCACCCCAACCGGGACTAGAACCTGGGGTGCCTGCGCCGCAGGTGGAGAATTAGCCAAGTGAGCCACAGTGTCGGCCCAAGCCAGGGTCTTAAACAGGATACTTTTCCTGTTCCTGTTTGTAGTCACTCAAGTGGTGTTGCCTAATTTTATAGTTCACAATTTAATTATATTTTAATTGTGTCCATATTTTTACACAATACCTGTTTTTGTACTAATAAGATGTTTTAATTATGAGAATTGTTCAAATATTGTCAATAACAACAGTGCTATTTATAAGATTTAAATATGATACATTTTGAGTTTCTAGTTTCTTTATAGTGTTCTGTGTTAAGCTGTTTTTCTTAGTAAACACATCTCTTAAAGTTGGGCAGGCTTATCTTCATGGTCCCTCATTTTGAAAAATCTATTAAATAATCAAATTTGACTTAGCTGCTATCCTCTGATAATTCTCATATGATAGAGCTATGGTAAAAATCTTGTTTATAGTGATTTTCTGTCATTCTCAATAATGCATAATTGGATATATCCAATAACTTTTCTGAAGGTTAATTGTATCTTGAACCCTGTAGAACACAACAGACTGTACATTTTATTTCCCTTTCCTTTGATATATGTATATAAAATGTATCATACAATTCTAAATTTTATGACACAAACCAAAGAATATCATCATTGTAAATATTATGATTATCTACCTTTAAGAGACAATAGAATCTAAAGAAAAACAACTTTACATACAAGAAAAATTATGTAAGCAGACATAAGATAAATATATAAAATCAAAACTTTTCATATATAAAATATATCTATTAGCATATTTAATAAAGTATTTATTTATTATGTCAACCAAGTTATGAAAAAAGTACTCATGAAAGTAGTAAATACTAGCTGTGTGTAGAAATGCGTGAAACTTTCCTGAAGGATATAACAGAGCTACAAAGGTTAAGCTTATATGTCAACTGGACTGGGTTAGTGCCAGGGTAGCTGAAGAGAGGCTATTTTTGTGTGTGTCTTTGAGGGTCTTTGCAGAAGAGAGCAGCAATTGAATTGGAGACAGAGAAAAAATTACTCCCACAGCAAAGGTGGGCTTTGATAGCTTGTTTCTTTGATACCTTTCCAGTTTCTTGATGTAGGCACTGATGACTATAAACTTCCCTCTTTTTTTTTTTTTTTTTTTTGGACAGGCAGAGTTAGAGGGAGAGAGAGAAAGGTCTTCCTTTTCCGTTGGTTCACCCCTGAAATGGCCTCCACGGCTGGCGCGCTGCGTCAATCCGTCAATCCGAAGCCAGGAGGCAGGTGCTTCCTCCTGGTCTCCCATGTGGGTGCAGGGCCCAAGCACTTGGGCCATCCTCCATTGCCCTCCCAGGCCACAGCAGAGAGCTGGACTGGAAGAGGAGCAACCGGGACAGAACCGGTGCCCCAACCGGGACTAGAACCCGGGGTGCCGACGCCGCAAGGCGGAGGATTAGCCAAACTTTCCTCTTAGCACTGCTTTTGCTGTATCACGGAAGTTTTGATATGTTGTATTGTCGTTTTCTTTTGTTTCTCTTTTGATTTTTTCTATGACCCACTGTTCATTCAGAATCATATTATTCAGTCTCCATGTGTTTGCATATGTTCTCGAGATTCTAGAGTTGTTAATTTCCAGCTTCATTCTATTGTAGTCCCAAAAGATGTATGGTATACTTTTGTTTTTTTTGAATTTGCGGAGACTTGCTTAAATAATGGATTTAAAGGACTAGAATGCACCTGGATGAATGGAGAAATTATCTCTTAAACACCACTTTGATCTCATTGTTTCCCTGTTTGAAACCTTCAGTTACTGCAAATATATATTAATTTTGTCAGTTATGTCTTAGTAATATTAGAGGGGGAAAACACTTGTAATGACCTCCTTTTATCTATACAATAAAGTTGCAAATACAGACGCTCCTCGACTTTCAGTGGTTTTCCATCTTGATAAACCCATTATAAAGCGTACATATCATACTTCAAAAATGTATTCAAACTCTTATGAAAAATCATAACTGAACCTCATCTACATTAGAGGTGCTTAGAATACTTACATTAAGCCTACAATTGGACAAAGTCCATCTAACACCAAGCACAAATTTTGTATATCATAACCATAGGATTGGGAAGCTGGGAGCTGCAGCCACTGCCACTGCTCAAAATTACAGATTATCAAAGTGTATATTGCCAACCCAGGCAAATACCAAAATGCAAATTTTGAAGCATGGTTTCTACAGAATGTGCATTGCTTTCCCTCCCTGTTGAAGCTAGAAACTCACCACTAGAACCATTGCAAGTTAAGGACCATCTGTAATTAATGAAAAATGAGGTTTGTGACCTGGTGATCTCTTCCTTGTATAAATTTGTCCTTTCCAGTTTATTCCAGCTGTCTATCCTCACTGTATAGTCCCTGGAACGGATTTCTCCTTCTAAAACACTGCTTTGTGCCTGCTCAAGTTGGATAATTTTCCTGTTCTCTCAAATACCAGCAGAGACCTAACTTCCTGATGGAAGTGTTTGATAATTCCATTTCAACTAGATATCTTGACTGGTTGTTTGACCTAGTGATTAAGATGCCTGTGAATCATATCCATTGACTAGAGTTCAAATCCCATCTCTGGCTCCTGACTCCAGCATTCCTGCTAATGCAGAGCCTTGGAGGCAGGGTGATGGTCCAAGTAAATTCCATCCCACATGGAAGATCTAGATTGCATTTGACTTCCAGTTTTGGCCCTGCCTCAGTACTGACCTTTGCAGGCACCTGGTGAGTGAGCTAGTGGATGGGAGCTCTTTTTGTCCATCTGTCTGTCTGGCACTCTCTCTTTCTAGTCTTCTATCAAATAAACCAATACAAGTTAAATAAGTAAATCCTAGTTGTCTGTGTACCCTCCTACCTCTCTTTCTCTATCCTGGGAAAAAATCGCATTCATAATTTTTTGTGTGATATCTTTAAGACTCCTATGAGCAAGGGCATGTGCATCCTGTTTACCTCTGTAACCCAGTACCACGCAGGATCTGAGGCCCATTGCACCTGCCAAGAGAATTTTGTTGAATTTCTGCAGAGGAAGATCCATTTGTCTGTTGTTTCCATATGTTTATATCATTTCTGTTTTCAAAGCTGCCATGGTTGTTTGAACAGCAGTGCTATATATGCTAATATGTAAAGCATTTGAAAGGCAGTTATTAAAAAGAAAGTAAGTGACTTTCTTTGATGAGTGATAAGTGAATTCCAAGTATGCAGAATATGTGAATTGACACTTTCTGTCTTTGAAAGCAAATAGAGTTTAAAATGAGAATGGGTTTCCTAAAAGGATAAAAGAAGAAAAATTGGATAACTTAGTTACATATGGTATTGGCTGCTGGAGGAATCCTATTATGAGAAAAATTATATTTTAAATCTTCTCCTAATCATTTAACTACAAGAGTACCCTTAATACTATCAAAAGCTCTTCTTATCTTTCAAAGACCTTCACATTCTCTCTGAGTTTATAAGAGCATTAAGGCTTTAGTATTACCATAATTAGATCCACAGAAAAGAGTACCTTCTCATTTTTGCCAACTCCTGATTACTCGTGGTGATGGATTACTAAAGCCCAAGATCATTTACAGCATATGAAAATCAGTCCCAATTCATTATGTCTATCAAAATTTCTGTTGAAATACAAGTTGACCTTTGAGCAGCAGCAAGTGTGTATTGATGCTTGAAAAAATACTTTTCAGTAAATGTAGTGAATTTTTTAAATAGAAAAAAATAGAAGAATTGATTAGTTTTATGAAAAGTAAGCCCTAAAAAGTATTCTAGGCATCAGTTAGGTGTGCTTCAGTTGCTCCCACTAAGCAATTGGAATTCTACAATTTGATTTCATTAGTGATTGAGAAGAAAGACATATAAATGGCTAGGAAATCCACAGGATCAAAGATTTACTTTACAAGAATTTATTTACCTGACTACCAACTTATAAAAATTAACAAAAATAGCAGGGAATGTTCTCAAACAACTTCTCACAGTTACAACCTTCCTACTATGTCATTTATTCACATACATTTTGTAACATTTTTTGAACACCAATTATGGCCAAACACTGGGGTACATATTATGAATGTAAAACTAGTAAGGTATGGTTTCTATTCTTTATAGATCATTATAATTTGTATGGAATAAATACTGTAGATATTAGAATAATTAAATGTTAGACAAATTCTAAAATGGAGTTGAATGTAAAACAAAATACCTTAAGTCTGACTCCAACTGACATTAACATAATATGAGTGATATACTAGTTCAGTATGCTGCCACCCCAATCGACTGGAATTGTAAGCTTTTAGCATCTACTAATTAATTGATTAATTCAGTAACAAAATTCTGATGACCTACTATGTACTTTGCTATTCAAGGAACACATGGGATAATTGCATTTCTTCATCATAGATGTTCAATAATAATAGAATAAAGGAAATTGTACCCAAAGAACCACTTCATTTTCAAATACACATAATTATTTGCCTTTTACAAATATTTCTTAGAAGCTCCTGTATCATAAAAATAAACATCTGTGCTTTCCATACGTGTTTAATTTAAATACCTTACATAAATATTTGATTATCTGAATGAATATCCTGATATTTAAGAGCCAGAAGCTAATGACAATCTCTTGAAATTGATGCAAAAACTTGTGTTATCTGTAATTGGTGTATGCTGTTCGGAATATTGACATGACTCACAAAACAAATGCTGCATCTATTCCTGGGAAACGCTTAGTTTCTTATTTCTCTTGACAGTGTGCAGACCTGGGTTCTTCAAAGCCTCACCTCACAGCCAGAGCTGCAGCAAATGTCCACCTCACAGTTACACCCATGAGGAAGCATCCACCTCTTGTGTCTGTGAAAAGGATTATTTCAGGAGGGAGTCTGATCCACCCACAATGGCATGCACAAGTAAGGAAACCCATGGATATGTGGTGATGCTAGCTTTCACCCGTTTGAAGAAACAGCATGACTGAGCCTGTTACATTCTATTAGCATTTCCTCTGAAACAGGCATAATGTTAGATCTTCATATAACTGTCACTAGATTTCTCTTTCCTTGAGAAGCATTGAAACATCTGAGTATCTTTGTATTATTTGCTTTTAGAAGCATCGTTTCCCCTAACTTTTATGTCAGCATCAGAGACATAGACCCAGAAATTTTCCTTTTATTTTGTCTTTTATTTAAATGCTCACGATAGCCAACATTACTGGTTAATCCACTTCCTTTTCAGGCTCTATTTTGTTTTTGTTTTTGTTTTTTGCCTCCTAGGTCAGTTTTCTGTTCACATATACATGGAGTAAGTGGCACTTTCCCCTTCTTAGCTAGCATGTCCCACTAAGCTGTCAAGGCTGATGAATGGGTCATTTATAAAAGATAGGAAGCATTTCAAGAACCTGGAGGTCTGGGGTTGCCAATCAGATTCAAGAGTATAATGCAAACCACACTTTAGGGTTTCCAAAAAGCTGTCATGTTTCTTGTTAGTGCGTGGCCTTTACTATTAAAAACATATTCGCTAATTGTGTAATCAGAGTAGATGAATATTGAACATTTAATTTCAAAATCTGCAGTGATCTGTCCAGGCTTTTGGTACTTTGGTTTTCCTAGTTTTCTGGGAATGTCATAGATTTATGGAGTTTTTACTAGATGACATCATTTCCTGAATTTTTTTTCCCAAAAGCAAAATTTCAAACAAAAACAGAAATAAAAGGGAATAAAAGTGAATTCCTCTCTCAATTTCTGTTATCTACCTTATGTTACTATTTTAGGTCCCAGTAACTTGTATTTATTCTTAGAAGTATTCTAAAGTCTTAAGAATTTTTGCTGTTCATCATTAATAATAGAAAAACAGTATTAAGTCCTTCTTGTAAAATAATCACAAGCTGAAGTTTGTCTGAATTTCATAGTGTCAATTGAACATACTTTCAGAATTTCTCAAATAATTGTCATTAATTCGCTTTACATTTGTAAAGATCCTTCTTTTGTCCATAGACAGATAATTTTATGTAGTAAACAATTACTAGTGAGAAAAGATTCCTCTGCAGATGAGTAGGTGACATTATTATACAGGCTTTTGGAGGGCATCTGAATGGAGGAGATACAAATCATGAGTGGATGTGATTTGTATTGATTGAAGTGGGGATGTAAACAATTATTTAAATCAGAGCAAAAGAATGACCCTAAATAGAAAAAAAAAAAAAATGTTGGCTAGAGAGTGGAGTTGGTGACGTTAGAGAGAACATGTATTGAATTACCTTTGAAATATTGTTAATTTTCTAATTAGTGCCCTACTTAAATAGTCCAGCTATTGCCTTGCTTTTACTGGCATGAAGTGAGCCTTCCTTTCTGTAGATTTGTTAGGGTTGGGGAAGGGGGAGAGGCTGTGCTTTGATGGCAGGGTCTGATCGGCAGCACTCTTAGGTAGAAAGATCACAGGCAGGCTTGGCATTTTCTCTCTGTGCAGGTATGTGAGTTTCTAGTGAGTTTGTCAAAAGAACACTGATTTGTATGCATTTCTTAAGAAAAAAAGACTCTTGGCATTCATGTATGAGATCTTTCAAATATATAACCTTAAAGTGTGTGTGCCTGTGTGTGTCTGTTTTTAGTTGCATTTGCAGTACCACAAATTCTGCATTTGATCCATTAATGGCTAGGTGGATGTTCAGATGAAGATCATGAACCTCACTTTGCTTTTGGATCTTTGGAATTGTACTCACAGTTTAACCTCATTTTGATAATTTTTTCTGGAATATATAGTTGTAAATATTTTTAATCTAGAAAACAGAATTTTACAGACACAGAAGAAAAAATCAAACAAAAATGAAAACTAAGATTGTGATGGATCTGCTTTTTAATGAAGCTTACTTATCACAACTCTACTTTGGTTCAAGCACTGTAACTTTTATGGGGCAGTGGAATATCATTACATTTTTCTTTAAGTTTACGTTAGGTGGAGCCTTTACTTTTTTAACTTGGAGTACTTTGCTTGAGTTTGAGTTTCATTTTGACTTAGAGGAGCTGTTAGCAAAAAAGTCAGAAGTGAAAGAAGAGTTAAATGTTTATCAGTTTTACAAACTTCCAGGGAAGGTGTTAAATGCAAGTGCATTTCAGCTGACGAAAGAAAAACCAGATAACGTATTTTTAAGCTAGACATATTTGACTCTTATTTTCTGTTGGTTCTTAGAAGTTAATCATGTAACATTTTGATCACAAATTCCATTTTCTCCATAATGTTATAAGCTAAAGTTTTTAGTAAACAATAATGCTTGTCTGTCCACTTTAGAATTGTTTCAACATAAAAGGAACTGTTCTGTATTGAAGTATATGAGTTTGCATATATGGAAAATTCATGGGATTTAATCTTAAATGTAGTCAATGTGCGGATTGTTTTGGGGAAAAAGTTCAATTCCTTAGTTATGGGATTTATTCATTTAAATGTCATTCATACAGCTGTATCACTAAGTACTAGGTAGCTTTCTTTCCAATTTTAAATTTGTTCCTCAACAGTCATGATTAGAAAATTTAAGTAGAAATTAGTGCAACTGCTTATATTTAGAACACACAATGTATGCTGAGATAAACTTTAGTTCATCCTACATACTTTCATTTGGTTTTTGAAATATTCAACACCCATCATGCTCTATTTTCTTCCCAGTAGGGAGAGATGTAATAATTAAGGCTCTAAAATCAAGACTACTGAATTTTTGTTTTGAGAATATCTGATCATATAACATGAACAGATGATTGAAGTTTCAAATCCATCTAAAAGTCAACTGTAGAGTTACACATTATATAATCAACTTTAGATTTTACTATATGCTAATTATTAGGTTCAGAAGCAAAAAAAATATATAAAAATAGAGTATTGTTACATTGTACCTGAGAAATCATTTAAGCAATGCTAAATGTGAATCCTATTACTAGAATTTTACTGGAACTGTTCCATCTCACTGAAGTGAGATTTTTACATCCAGTCTCCATTCCCATATGGCTGAAAAAATGAAATGTCTGCTAAATAGTTTCTGAAGTTAGGAAATTTACATTGGTAGTACTCGAAGATGTTATTCTATAGTCTGTATTATGTTTGATTTAAGTGCATTTCATTCCTTATTGTAGTGGGTTATTAGAGACTAAAATTTGTTCTACGATCTTCGAAAATGTGAACAATTTCATTCATCCTAGTAGTGTTTCTTACGGCTATTTTTAAAGTGTATTTTAGATTTTCCAGTGAAGTAATATTCACAAGTCGCCAAACCATAATATGAAAAGAAAAGTGAAATAAGAGAAATTTTATGCGATGTTGCGACGTTGACCAGCTACTTAAATCCTACTGGTTTCTTGGCATAGGATATAGGGTCTCAAATTACACTGGTGATTTACCAACTAAGAGGCGACTTTTGATGGGAGGCAAGGCTGGTAATTTACTTGCTACAGAATCTGCTTCCAAGAGCCACACTGGCTCATGGATTAGGAGGCACTTCATGTTTGCTTCCTGGTTTTCACAGATTACTATCAACAAGGACATAATCAGCATGGCCCCTAGAGATCCACCTACTAGTTAGTGTTCAAATGTCTGATCTTATCTAGCATTTCTTGTGCATACATAGTTTTACTCCATGATTTATTTTCATATACACCAAGCAAAACATCTGTCTTTCCTGCACTAGTGTTAGAACAATGCTAAGATTAATTATTCCCATAGGGTGTAACCTCTACTGCTATCCCTAAAAACCGAGGCACGCTTTGACAAAGATAATTACAAATGATGACCTAAAAGAGAGGTTGCAGATCTCCTTGATTTATTTCCTGCAGGCCAGGGATTAGTGGGTAAACAATGCCTTATTCATATCATCTGAAAATATGTTTTTCTCACTTTACTTTCCAAACCAGGACCCCCCTCAGCCCCTCGGAATGCCATCTCAAATGTTAATGAGACTAGTGTCTTTCTGGAATGGATTCCGCCTGCTGACACTGGTGGAAGGAAAGATGTGTCCTATTATATTGCATGCAAGAAGTGCAACTCCCATGCAGGTGTGTGTGAGGAGTGTGGCCGTCATGTCAGGTACCTCCCCCAGCAAATCGGCCTGAAAAACACCTCTGTCATGATGGTGGATCTGCTCGCTCACACAAACTATACCTTTGAGATTGAGGCAGTGAACGGAGTGTCCGACTTGAGCCCAGGAGCCCGGCAGTTTGTGTCTGTAAATGTAACCACAAATCAAGCAGGTAAGTGCCATGTCCCACCACTTCGGGTATCTCAGGCCTAGCTCCTTCCGTTGTCTCTGCAGCCGGGGCGCTAGGTTGACAGCTCTGTGCGAGAATACCCATCAGCTGAAAGCCAGGATGTAGATCAGAAAACATCTCAAAATGCTTTATGAGTTTTAAACGAATAAAAGCTAAGCCCACATATACCCACAGATCAAAATATACATATATCCTAATTTAGTATTTTGCTTTAAAAATATATTTTTGTATCACATACATTTGCGGGAAAGTGTTTAGTCTTATCTAATTCCATTCAGAGCATGTTTATACCTTAAATTTACTTTCATTGTTGTTCTGTTACATTCAAGTTTTTTTTTTTTTTTTTAATTTGTTCATTTACCTTGTGATCAGGCAGAATTTATTTGCTTATTTATTTGATTGCTTGCTTGGCATCACTGCTGAATTTTCTTTGCAGATTTTGATAGTCTTTTGAAAATTTATTTCTATTGTTATTTTAACACAAGTGAGTTAAGCCAATTTTGCTAGGTTCATTTTAGCAAAATTTGAATAGCTGTGAACTGCTGTGCAACCATGTAAAAACAAATCTAAGCTCCACGTGTGTATTTCATTGTTACTAGCGAGTAGAGACTATTGTCTGTGCTGCTAACACCTCTGCATTTTCCCTTCACATGTTCGATTTTAAGCAA